GTGGGTGGGGGGTGGGGGTGGTGACTGAGCTAAAGTACTCAGCTCACAGGACTCGTGAAGTGACGTGGGACAGCACTTCACGGTGCCTGGCACGAGGCAAGCAGGCAGCGATATAGTGCTCATGATTTAGGAGTGAGTGGAGTCAGCAAGCCACAGAGGCGCAGTGAGCGCTAGAGCCATCACCCTCGTCACCACTCTTACTGTAACGGCTCCTCTGATAAAGGTGTGGCTCAGAGAGGGGCAGTGGCCTTCCTGGGGTGGCCCAGCGTCGAGCGCCACAGCTGGCTGCATAACTCTGGGCAGCAGATGCCAAGTCCCCCAGTCTCCCCACTGCCCGTGAGGACCCCTCAGAGCTGTCTGCCTGTCCCCCGCTGCCAGGCAGGTCAGGAAGGACAGGAGAGCTGGGGCCTGGCAAGACTACAGGCTTGAGGAAGCTGAAATCCTAAGGGAGAGCCAGGCCCAGGGCAAGGAGAAGGGTCCCCTTACTGTGAGTCCCAGGAGCAAGGCAGGGGCTGTTTGGAGACTGAGGTCCGAGGTCAGAGTGCCCGGGCAGCCCACACCTGCCAAGTTGCTGTGCTGGGTCTCCTAGGATTGCCCTGAGCCGGAGCCACCATGGTCTCAGGCCCGGGCAGACAAGTGGAGCTGGTGGGCAGAGGAGCAGCCCTTACGCTGAGGAGAGGGCAGAGGCAGGGCTCTCCAGGGCGCCCAGGTTCCTCCGGGCAACGGTCCCTCTTCATCAGGCACCGTTGAGCAATGGCGCTTCATGACCAGGACCCGCCCCTAGGAGTGGGAAGACTCCAGCCTCTTTCATGGGGTCGTGCCCTCAACCTTCTGCCCTCCATTACAAGACAGGCTGGGGACAGGAAGAGCAGTGAGGCCCCGTGTGGCCACACACCGCAGATAGAAGGGGCAGGCACCATGGAAGGCCTGGCCCTGGGTTCCAGACACCCCTTCCAAAACATTCGACAGTAAGATAATCCACTGCATTATTAAGAAAATGCGTCAGGCACCCTGGGCAGCGTCCGATCAAATTCCCACGTCTCTACCACTTTCCCGTGGTTGGGCAGGGGAGAGCGGGAGGCCAGCTGCGACCTGCCAGGGACTCCAGCCCCAACTGGCCAGAGGCGGCCGTTCCTTCCTGGGCCAGGCGTGTTACGGCTGTTAGGGCACATTTGTTGGCTATGGCCGCAGTCCAGGGTGAGGCCCCAGCCCTGCCTTTGAGCAGCACCTCTGCAGAGCGAGGTCAGGCCTCCCGTGCCTTAGCAAACAGAAATTAGGAGGCAATTAGCCCTGGGTGTGCGAATCTGCTTTTGAGGTCTTAGAGGCAGATTTTAGCCAAACACAGCATCACTAACAATAATAACACTTTCCACTGAGATCCCAGCAGGAGGTCGCTGGCATCAGATTTCGGAGGAGGCCAGTGTGCCAGGAGGAGAGAGGCGGGGGGGGGGGCGGCCTGGAGGCACCTGCTCCCTAGCCACAGCCTCCTCCTGGGAGGCTGCAAGGTCAGCTGTCAGCAGGGATTGGACGGATGAGGGTCTTCAGTCCGCTGGTGGCAGGGTCTTGTTCTTGCAGGCAGCAGGGGCCTAGGGGAACAGAGGTCAAGCCCCAGACCTGTTTTACGATCTTCAATGACTCATTTCCACTTTCTGAGCCCCATGTGTGTAAAAGAAGGCACAGACCGGCAGGGTTGCAGCAAAGGTGAACTGGGGCAGGCAAGCCAGCACCTTGGGAAGGTTGCAAACCCCGCAGGCGGGCGTGGGAACGGCCTGGAGGCACCTGCTCCCTAGCCACAGCCTCCTCCTGGGAGGCTGCAAGGTCAGCTGTCAGCAGGGATTGGACGGATGAGGGTCTTCAGTCCGCTGGTGGCAGGGTCTTGTTCTTGCAGGCAGCAGGGGCCTAGGGGAACAGAGGTCAAGCCCCAGACCTGTTTTACGATCTTCAATGACTCATTTCCACTTTCTGAGCCCCATGTGTGTAAAAGAAGGCACAGACCGGCAGGGTTGCAGCAAAGGTGAACTGGGGCAGGCAAGCCAGCACCTTGGGAAGGTTGCAAACCCCGCACGACACATCCACGATGTGCCCGCTGTCACCGACTGCCTGCCGCACTAGGACGGGACATGTGCCTCAGGAGTCAGACTGCCTGGGTTCAAATTTTGCCCCGTCCCTGTGGGAGTCACACACCCCCTCCAGGCTTCCGTCTCCTCGTCTGTAAAATGAGACTAATGCCAGTGCCCACCTCACAGAGCTAGTGCAGGTACAGCGCAGGGAGCACAGACTCAGGGCGAGACAGAAAGGCTGGGAGAAGCTGCGCAACTCAGGGAGGGGAGCAAGCAGTCTCACAGTCCCTGCTGGCCGGTGCCTGGGGCAGGAGCGGTAGAGCCAGACGTACTTGTCCCCTCCTACCCCTGGGGCCCCAGGGTAGCAGGATAAGGATGCAGGACAGCTCTGCCCTGGGGTCAGAGAGCACAAAGCCTGGCTTCCCTCTTCCTCCTGGGCACTTCCCTTAACCTGAGCCTGGATTTTTCCCATCTGCAAAATGGGAGCAATGAGGTGTGCTTTACCAGTTGTTGTAAAGATTAAACACAGAGGGTTGTAACGCCTTTGGAAAGTTGGCACCTCCTGGAGGTTCCCGTCTACCCTCCCCAAGGCAGGACAAGATCTTGCTCCAAACTTCCCCTTAGTCATCTACTGCCCCCTGCAGGGAGTAACTTGGGCATTCACTGGGTTCGAGCCTTCTTGTCAAGTCCCGTGTGCTGGGAAGGGGTGACAACTTGAACCTGAAATAAGTCGCAGGAGATACTTGGTCCACAGTCCAGTGTGGCTTGAGGTTTTCAAGAACTAATTTTGGAGGACACTGGAGTCTGAGTTTGAAGCCCAGCTTCATGCCCACTGGCTCTGTGGCTTTGGGATGCGGGCTGAAGCTTCCTAAAGCTAAAGCTTCCTTAGTTGGAAGGTGCGATAGCAGCAGACTCACCCTCCCCAATACGGAAATTGTGAGACTGGCGGGTCCCTCCGAGTCCCCAGCTGGTAGGACTCGCCCCCGCCCGCGGTTATGGCTAGAGGCGGAGTCTGTCCCCTCGGCGCCCCCTGCTGGCGAGGCCGGCCCCAACGTGCGGGCCACCAGGTGACCCGCGCGTGCCCCGCCTTCCCGCCCGCAGGATCGTGCAGCCGCCCCGCGGGTGCGGCCAGAGCCTCCTGCGGGCGCCCAGCCGCACCCGCGTGCGCCGGAGCGGGATCAGCCCGCTGCACCTGGCGGCGGAGCGTAACCACGACGCGGTGCTGGAGGCGCTGCTGGGCGCGCGCTTCGACGTGAACGCGCCACTGGCGCCCGAGCGCGCGCGCCTCTA